ATATTCAGACTTTAATGAAAAGAATTATTAGGGAAGGGGGGATAAAGGAGAGCTGTGGAGGGGGTGAATTTGAGTATGGTATTTTTGATAGATTGCAAGAACTCTTGTAAATGCTGCAATGTACCTTCACCCAGCACAGCAATAAAAAAAATTGAAAAATGACAAAAAAGAGAATTATTAAGGACACAGAAGAAATAAATAGTGTTCATATTTGTGGTTGTAGGACATAAATTAGAATTGCAAAATTTAAAGTTGAAGCAAACCATTTGACTATGAATATACTTAGAAAAATATGAGCAATGTTTTAAAAAAATCTTTTATCAAGATTCATTTGTAATGAATGCATAAAATAAGGAGACTGAAAATCATCATTTTCCATCAAATGGAGAAATTTCCTGCATATGTGTGTGGTTCTTATTCTAAGTGATTGAAGTCTCCTCTATTTAGTTATATTCTAGAAAATAGATATTTCAGAAAATATTTTAAAACTATAAATTTCCATAGCAACGATCTTCTAATTTGTGCATTCCTTCCTGCAGCTATTAGTGTGTGAGTTCCTGCTTCGACTTTTGAGTTTGGACTGCTACAGGTAAACACTACCTTACGACTGGTAGGTGCTGTGGTAGATGCGGCCATCCTCTGCTGATGTACTTTTTAATTGACGAGAAACCAAGAGGTCCTTGATGAGTTAACGTGGTGGCCTCAGCTGTCTTTTAAAGTAAAATTTGATTTTCTTCACCTTTTTAAATTGGAGTTGTTAAAAACATTCAGGAAAAAGGCAGTATAGTAGTGAAAGGATATGGATTTTCACTGAAAAAAAAAAACTAACCCACATTTAAAAAGCAAATGATGCAAATTAAAACACAGACACAGGTGGTTAGAATGAAAATGACTTCCATGTTTATGCTTGTCAGCAAACATAGTTATTTACAAATAACCCATATGAAAATGTAAAAAGGCATATTACATCTTCACATGCCATCTGTAGTAACTGAATAAAGCTTAGTGACATTATTTGAAAATCTGTACTTAATTGTACATAGACATTTTGTGCATTAAAAAGAAATGTACATAATTTAAAATAAATTACATTACAAAATTTACAAATGAATATTAACAGAAAATTCATAGACAGTTGGCTCCTAATTTAAACAAAATAAATACTCAGGTAATTAAGTTAACAAAAAATATACATTTAGGAGATTATAATTTATAGGAAGACAATCAGAAATTTAATAAAGTTACATTTTACAATGACAGATATTGATCTCTTCAAATCTCTGTGATAGAAATGGGCAGGCAAAAGTACCAGAAATGGAATCTAAAATGTTTATTTTCTTAAAAATAAACACAGATAGATTCCTGTAAAATAGCTGAGAAAAGTTTATTGAGGCATAAAAAGAAACTATTACTTTAAAAAAGAAAAAAAAACCCTACAAAACACAATAAAACAGACACCAAATTGCATTGTAAATAGAACAGAGATTTTTGATCCCATGAAGTAAGATTTCATATACTGCTTGCTTAATGGTCTGGCTTGGTAGAAGCACAAACAACCCTGCAAAATTAACTGTATTCATTTATTATTTATTTTATCCATTGAATGTTGCAGGCATAACCATTTCTTCAGGGTTCCTGCTAGATATAAAATTATTGTGTTACACTGCAGAACATTCTTTTTATAAAAGAATAACCATTTGCTAGGCCCATACTCCAGTTTCTGATGCCTGAGATCTTGACATGCAGCTCAGACCACCTGAGGGTAGGACCAGGTGGGACTATTACCACCAAAACAGGCAGATGTAGTTCTCATATAAAATAGACCCAGGAAGATTACCCTCTGCAAGATTCCTTACAGATTAGTTCACAGAGGTCTTAATCTGAGAGGGGAAATAGAACAAGAAACACATTTGAGCATGGGAACACTTTTACAAGTAGTGAGATCTCAGGTCATTTGGGAAGCATGATTTTTGCAAATCTACTCAAGACTCCAAATCTGAGGAATGGGCTTTCCTTTCTGTACAGTATTGAAAGGTCTAGGTCTCTCCCAATGTCTTATAAGTGAACAAAGACAGAAGAGGGGGGGTAGGAGGAATAAAAGGATTCTGAGTGATACTGAAGCAAGTATAGGAATTGACATTTTTATAGAAAAAAATCCTCTCTTTTTTTTGCATGCCTTCTACATCTTTTCTTTCTTCCTTATTCATTGCTTTTATTGGTGAATTCTGTTTAAATGAAAATGTTAACATTTTAATTGACACTTTGCTTATAATAGGGAAGGAACAGAAGCCTTCTCCATTTTTTCTTATAAAAAAATGTGGGCATGTAGTAGGTGACTTTGAGGGAAGTCAACAAGATTAGCCATTAATAGGAGAGGAGCAAGACACCAGACAGAGGAAATTATCATAAAGGATCAAGGATACAATGAGCTGGAGATGGTAAATAAATGTGTGAGAAGTGTTAGTTGTTTCCTATAAGAAATGACTTTATCTTGAAGAATCTAGGAACAGGGCTTTACTTCAATGACCATTGACACCTACCTGAGGGTGGAGTAGGAAAAAAAGCAAATCAAATTCATCACAGCATATCCTAAGACACATTACATATGGAAAATGCTAACCACATTCATAAACAAACCTAGAGTAATGTGTTTAATTGCTATCATCACTCAATATTTTCCTTCTTTTGAATGTCTTAGTTTCCTATGTATACTAAAATCATTACTAATTTTTATAGTGACTAGCAGACTGTCTTACATATGATAATTTGATAAATATTTATCTTGTTATAAGTAATTTGTGCTTTGTTATAAGTAAAGACATGCTTTTATGCACTCCTTTTCAATTAGCTTAAGCTAAATTGTAGTGTCCTCAAAAAGGCTTTGAAATAAGTTTTATGGCCAGTGTATATTGATTTAGGCATCGATGAATAAACGATCGGTCCCTTTCAAGAGAGATCATTTACACCACTTCTATATGGTGTAAATGCTTCTACTGAAACAGTCCAACAAAATTGAAATAAAAATTTTTCTTTTCTTTTTAAGCCAAGTAAGCTCTCATACTTACAGGACAGTATTTCTAAATTGTTTTAGGCTCACAGACCATTTTAGTAAGGCAAAAAGTGTCAATTGTCAAGTTACTACTATATTCCCCTTCTGAATTCTTAGAATGACCAGGAATAATATGGTTTTGATAAAATTCCAGTATTTAACTCATAATTAACTCATGCCAGGAAGAAAAATAAGACCATTTCATGTTATAAACATGAGTATAATAATCTCCCATTTGTCCAAATTAGCCAAATAACTATATTCTCCTCTCCCCTCTTCCAATAAGTGGCCCCGCAATAATAATTTTCACTAACCGCAAGCATCCAATATGTTCCCTGAACCTAAGCTCCTCCAAATATATATATATAATTTATAATGGAGTAAAGTATTTTATATGAATAAAACATCTTATATCTTCATACATTTTATAATCTTTAAATTCTTAATTCATTTAATTCTTAAACATAGGTCAGATAATATTAAATTATCTTTTTGAATTAATGACATTTTATGATGTGTTAAGTATAGTCTTAGTAGAAGCAATATTCTACATTTCATAATTATTAAGTGTTGCACACATTTCATAAGACCGTTACAATTTCCCAAGTAACCACAATAGAGCCTTCCTTAACCATTTTAGACAGAAGGAATTAATTTTATTCAAATAGATCAACTTGAGGATTATCTGGGAGACCCCCGAATATATATGTCAATAATCATAGTTTTAAAATAACAACATTTTTTTTTTTATTCCTCTTCAGTAAAACAGATGAAATAGATTTTAATTGTATGGTTTTCCTGGATTAAATCCTTGTCTTCAAGTGAAGTTATCATTTTAGCTACCCGTTCTCTTTAAAATGCTTATACTGCTTGGTTTATTAAATATTGTGTAAGGAACAAATGCTTCCACATTTCTTTCTTAGTAAAATTTGTAGTAATATTTTCCTTTGAGGAATAATGACATCCTAATCTCATTTTTTGTTATTCTTTGCAGATACTCTAATGGACAGCAGGGGGAGTTCAAAATCCACTATGTGCTACAGGAAAGCAAAATGCCTTGTATCTTTAACCACTTTCACAGCAAGCACAGCTGTATTTAAGAAAAAAATGACTTTACTCTTTTTTAAAAGACCCGAAAGCCTCTCTCTTGCAAAGGTTATAGCAGTATATGTTGCCTGAAAAATGGCATTGATTTTACATGACACCTTTTGAACTTTCTTGTTATGAGGAAAGAAGTCTGCTAACTTAGATACTGTTCCACTGTGACATTCTCAGGGGTATATCTGTGAAAATATAGCTACTTCCAATGCAGTAAATTTAATGACTGAATTTTCACTTCTGAAATTAAACACTGGTGAAAGACAGAGGGTAAATGAAGGAAAACGAAAGAGGACAAAATGGAGAGTTAGAATTACAAAGCATCTAGAGTGAGGGTCAGCAAAGTAGGATGTGTAAATGTGGCCTGCTGGCTGCCTGTGTGAATAAAGGTTTACTGGAAAGTAGACACACTCATTTTTTTTCTTATTGTGTAACATCTACGATAGCATTGCTCAGTAAGCATTACACATCTATGGCAGACACAGACCTGGCTGAGAATATACACTATCTGATCCTTTACAGAAAAAGTTTGCCATCCTTGATCTAGATATTTAATAAAGGTCTGGACAAGATATTCATTCTTCTTCTTCTTCTTTTTTTTTAACTTTTACGTTTTGAAATCATACATTAAAAAGACTACCAAATTCTACCAGTGAGAAAGACAAAAGACTGTGGATTTTGAAATACTGTTTACCAGACAGACCTTCAACCTAAAACTGAGAAAACAAATCAAGGAGAAGAAAAGTTAATGTATAATTTTGATTTCTTTTAGTTACAAAAATCATTGATAAATTATTTTCTCCATCTGCTTGAAATTGAAAAGATGACCAGTTCCTTTTTTTCTTTTCTTTTCTTTTTTTTTTAACAAAGATAACAAATATAAAAATCTAGTCATAAACAGCCTTCAAAGAACAATTACAAACTAATTAGAGGGATCCACCTGTTGTAGGGTTAAAGGGTCAGAACTTCAATACGTAAATTACCACCATGTTGACAATTTCAAAATGGCAGCAGTGATGAAGAAAAGAGTATATAGATAGCAGTTCTAAGAGCTGATTCCATCCTGTTTCCATCCAAACTGAACTTTGCTCTCTTCAGGATACAAGAACTTGCAAATGTCTGTATGACACTCTTGGCACAGATGTCTTCATCCCATATGAAAAGAGGCAGTTTCTGTGGCAATACTGGATAAGAGCCTATCATACTGCACTAATATAGTGCAAAAATGTGCCTTCCATGTAGCAAAAAAGATGCAGGCAACAAGTTTGAAATTAGGGAAAGTACAAATGTATTAACACAAGCAAATTAGTTTTCCAGACAATAACCACTCTAAAATACTGAACTTGAGGACTCTTTCTTCTAAGATACTAGTATATGTCCAGCATTCATACATTGGAGAGAGACAAGGGTGAAATCCTATAAAAGAGTCTGTCTCTCAAATGCAGGTCAATAAAAGCTACCATCAACCACAAAGATGCTGAATTTGTTCAGTGTGCGTTCTGCTCAGCTTAAAAGCTTTGCTTTTTTTCACTGTTAAAGTTGCCTATTAACAAGTACATAATAATGTGTATCATTCAGTTGAGTATACATGTTGTTATGCTTGACTATAGTATTGTAGAACATCTCTGTATTAATTCATCATGCTAGAAAGTTCTGTGGGTTAGCACTGCAGTCTTACATCAGGCATCCCAACTGGCCAACTTCACCAGTATTTTTCAGAGATGAAAGTAGTTTTTCAATCGGTAGATTGCCCAAAAGATGACTCAAAGCTCTCAAAATGCAACTAAATCTCCTAGAATTCTCAAGATTGATGGTCTATATGTAAGTGGTACTGTCTTGAGTATTCCCAGTGGCAGTATGGTTTTCACTCTTTTCTTTATGATGCTCTTTTAAATGGTTAAGATGAATTATAATCTGCACAGTTTAGATACTGTTACTGTGGCCTCTGGATACATATTACAAAGTCAGAAAACCAAAACTGGTTGTTGCCAGGAAAAGTGATATGTTACATGTCTGCATCACCGTCATAAGCTAAGGTTAAAGGTTTCAGTCGGTTGTTTTGCCGTCTTTGGGGTTTCTTTGGCTTTTTGCTGTAAAAAAATTCATGAAAATTAGGAGAAAGCAAAGCACCATTCAACTGTAAATTTTATTGTGTTAAATTTTTAGAAAAGCAAAACAAATTGAGGGACTTAATTTTCCTATTTATCCATACTGCCTAAATTCAACCTTGGAATTTGATTTTCTGGTCATTTTGAATTTTATACTTTTGTGACCTGAAGAAACATTAAATAAGTTTCAATTATTTTAGTACTTTATAAAGGACAAGTTATCCAGGTGGAACTCCTTTAGTACTAACAACAGAAGTGATGTTATTGCATAATCATCTGCATTTGGCCAGAAAACTATAAATAATAGTTAGTTTATAATTAACACATTTACAAATAAAAATGAATAAGATTAGGTATCATCACAGTATCTTCCTCCAGTAGAAATTCAGCGTAATGATCCACACAAAGCAACATTCTTTGGCATTCTTGCAAGACAGCAAACTTGAAAAGATGACCTGGAACAGCCCTGGCTCATTTTCAGAAACTGAATGGCTTAGATTTGTTAGGTTTTAGGTTTTCTAAGACTAAAGTCTTTTTTATTTAGAATTTCATGCAAACACTAAAAATGTAGCATATTTGAGACACTGGTTTACCATTCCTGTGTTGCAGGCAACTATTTTCTTTGAAATAAAGACATGTGTATCCCCTTAGATTATTTAAACACTCACCAAGCTAGATAAATCATGGAGACAATGAAGATGAGCAACACAAATGCTCCAGCTGCTACACCATAAACCCACGTCTTTAATCTTCCATCTAAGAAGAAGGGAATTACTTATTAATTTACATTAGTCTGGGCTATATATGACAGCCTTTAACTATGACCAATGACTAGTCACATATGACCAATGCTTTTCAAAACTCAAAATGAGTTATTGCTCAGACAGTTAATGATTAATTTAAGTCTGCTATTATGAGTTAGATGGTGCTTCATTGAAGGTAAATTAGCAAGGAAAATTGAACTGAAGCAACAACTAGTGTTTGTGGTCAGATGCTGAGTTCATATGTTTAATCTGAATTTTACTTCAAATTCAACATATGTGTAATGCTAGATACACATTGTCTTATGATTTCCAACCTGTTTTAAGAATGCCACATTATTTTAAAAAGATGAAAAGTAATGCAACTTAAAGAAAATTGTACAATCTAGAGTTGATGCAGACAGGTATTTGAGCACTTGCTTTATCATTTTCACATTTTTGTTTCAGATGAAAGGAAAGTGAATAGATTTAACATATTTATTTTGAAATTATTTAATCCTTTATCTAGTCTATACTTACAGCATGTGTATGCCAACTTTTAGGGCTGATATAAACTGGTCTAGCTACCAAATGCCCTCCAGCATAGGACTGCATTTCTAGCTACCAAATGCCCTCCAGCATAGGACTGCATTTCTGATGCTCTTAGTTAGGGTTCAAACAGTTGCTTCTCTGTGATCAAACTGAACATTCTCAGATTTCTGTATAGTCTTATTTGTCCCAGTTGTGACTAACAATGTGCTTTTTTCCTAATTCTTATTTTCATTGTTATATTTCCTTATTTAATGTAAAACTAATTATACTTATAACTTTAGAACTGGGATTAAAATAAGTAATATAATCATAAATTTTTTTCTCAGCAGAATGTAATTTCATTTCCGTGATCTTTGGGCACAAGTGCTTTTATATATAACAATGATAAAAAGATGTAAGGAAATAGAATAAGTGAATACAGACGAAATTAAAAAAACATAATAGTTCAAATGAAAATGGTAACTCATTTTTTAAAAACCCTTTGGCATTAGCTAAGTGTCAAACTAAAGAATTCTAACTCAACACTGTTCGGTCATTTCACCTGGCCCAAACGGCTGTAGAAACCAGGTCCTTCCCCGTCCTGCTGGGTTACTGGACATTTGGGTCGGATGTACTGCCCGACTGGTTTTCACATCTCCTCTTTTGTCCTCCACGGTGGGTATGACCACCACGGGGATAAGTGTGCACTGCTCAAGTGTACTGTTAGAAGACATGACTTCAGTGTACCCTTCTTCACAGTGGCATGCCTTTGTCTGGAGGGAACAAGAAGATTTACACTAGGCACGCAAGGTGATTGTTGAAAGCATAACAGACCTGACTAGAAAAGAAAACTTTAAAGGATTTTTTGTTGGAATTTACCACATGCAGTCCCAGTCTTAAAAACAATCTTACTTTTTTGTATTTTACATGGAGATATTCTAAAAGCAAGTGCATTCAGAATGGTTTGCATTGTTTAAAAGCGAGACATAAAATGGAATTTTTATATTCTCAAGACATGTTTCTCTTGGGGGGACAGCGGATGGACTGCCTCAGAGACAGCAGTATGACACATGAGGAAGGTGGCTTGTCCATTCTAAGGAATTTGCACATACCTCGCTACAGTATGAGTGGGGTTGAATACATGGTGGGTTACAAGACCTGTCAGTATCAGGCTGGCTCACAACCAAGCAGCCTCCTGCAAAACAGAAAATAATATTTTGAAAATTAGTATCTCTTGTTATGATAAAAATATTTCATTGTTATTGCCTTGTCTTTGAAACTTGAACTACCTTGGGAACCCAAATTTTTTCTGACTGTGAAATATTTGGTTAATCTTTGCCATTTAGCAACTTGTGGTCCTTTTTATCCATCAGACAACACAGTGCCTGGTGGTAAGTAGGTGTCCAATATGTATTTGTCAAAAGGATGATTTAATAATTACCATTTTAGAAATGCTAGTTGCACATAACCTGCCAGTAGTTCCTGAATCCAAGCCCAGAAAGTGAAAAGCAGATTTAATTTTCTTTTAAAGTTGAAAGTAATTCTTGGCTATTCAAAACAATAGTTTTCTTATCCCTTGTAATAATAACTCATTAATTTATGTGGACATGCATAAATGTATTTTTAGAATACACATTTCCTTTACAGGAAATCCTATTCCTATTAATTCAGGGCATTTGGAGGAATAGGGAAGAAAGCAAATATAGCTACCAAATCTTTTGTTTGTACTATTTTTTTAACTTGATATTGATGTGATTTATATCCTCTTTCTTTTTTTTTCAAGTATCATACAACCATGCCTGAGCTGTTGTAAGTTTTAAGGTGGGAACAGGTATCTTAAAGAAACAATATTAATGAAATGGGATGAACTAACTCAGCTTCAAACTATACTTGTTCAGTTTGACATAATTTTATCAAAGCAAATTTTTTCTATATTCATGGAACTGATGATCCTCTGGATTTAATCAAAGGTGCTTATTGCTAATTCTTTGTTTTTCAATACTGCAAGTGCAAAATACTCATAGCAAAAATTGTTGTGGAAAAGCAGGCAGTCATTGCAAGGCATTTGCAGCTAAGTGGCCATATAAATTATCATTAAACACGAGGAGAGAAAGGAAAGCAATATTTTGAGTTTCTTATAAGGACAATCCATAAATTAAAACAAGTGATTGAGGTATGTGATATAGTACATGTGTTCATATTTCTCATAAAGAATCACATCTAAAGAATGGAAGAATAATGCATATTGCATATAGAGTTTATCACTTACACATTGGCTTTTTGGTACTGACAGTATTAGGAGAAAGAAATAATATTGGAAATTTGCTGTGTTGTAAAGAAACTAACAATATGATTTCTACAGGCAAGTGTTTTAAAGTGTGACATAACTTTGCATTGGGGAATAGTTCCATTGCAGTGGGAAAATAACTTTTAACACACAGAAGAAAAGCTAGACAAATATTATTTGCATCCACATTAAAAAAAAATGTCAACACGGGTTCACTGGGGAAACTGTTAAAGTCCCTCAGCATAGGTTCAGGAAGAATGCACACTGATTTCCACCCTCTGGGTTGGATGGATGATCTGTGTAACAACTGGTTCAGAAAGCCTGTGCTTCCTGTCTAGGACTCTTCTCACCCCATACACCTTAGCATGGAGTTAGGACAGATTTTTCTCTGTTGAAGGAGCACAGACTTTCCTGAAAGTTGTCTTTTCTTTTTTTTTAATAACATACATCTCCACTGGGAGATGCTGTTATCAAGGGTTTCTTGATACAGTCTTCTCATGTTTAAAATCCTACCTTCAAAAGAATGCAATTTAACATTCTGTTTGAGCTTTCAAAGGGAGGATATAAGTAATTAGGTTACAATAAATCCAGGTAATTTAAAACTCAATGTAAAACTTGATTTTTTAAAAAAGCATATTGATCTCTGCTCCTACTAATCTTACTGTATATATTAAAGATAAATGCACAAATGGACATTGCTCAGGAGCAATCAGATGCACAGTACTTCTTCTTGCAGGAGGATTGAAATAACAACAGCAAATCATTAGGTTCACTTGAGCAGTTGATTGTCAACACTTCCACTGCTGCTATGCTGTATTGAATCTTGGCGATCAGATTATAAGAATTGTTTATGGAGAAACAGTAGATTTTTGGTTCATGTCTCTGAGTTTGGATTTCTGGTTTTGCCTTCGTTTATTTCTAGAAAATTTGCATAAGATTTACTACCTATTTAGCATTGAAGTTTCTTTCCCATTTAATGGGTCCTTAGGATCTCTTGCATTTACTGGGTTCAGGTAAAGAACATTTTAGTAACTGCAGATTGCAGTAGTTCTTTGGAAGAATCTTTAGATCAATGTACAGTAAGAAAACTTCTTCTGATGATCTTCTTTGGGAGTGTAATCATTTGGAGGTGGGGACATAAATGAGTTTCTCAGATACTCTGAGTTTGAGATTTACCAGGAAGTCCTCCCAATCAATCAATAAAAAATTCTCAATTTTACAATTTTTAATTCAGGCAAGTTATTTAGGTTTGTGCAATCACATGCCCTTGGTGGTGCTTTTGGTCTATGTTTGTATTATCTTCAAGGCACACAGCAGAAACAATGGAAAGCACTGATTTTTTTCTTAGTTTGTGGTAAGTTATTAATATGTAAAATTTCTATAAAAACAATCTGAAAATTACTTATAACTGCTTATTAGAGTTAGACAGTATTCTAGTTAAATAAGTTCTAGCAGTGTTATCTGAAGGATCTAGGTGAGGGAGAATTTGAAACATTATAATGATTTGGCATTGATCACCAGACCCATATGTAGTTCAGGTGTCTTAATCCCAACTGTGTGTTGAAAACTGAAAGCATCCTTTTTTCCTTCATTTTTTTAACTGATTATGTGTGTTTTATGGAATACTTTTGAAGAACAAGAAATTGGAGGTTTACCTGTTACATTTACACCATCTGACCTTTGACACCAGACTGTTCGAGAAGAGCCCTTCCAGGCACTGGCCATCCACTTGTACTCGTAACACTGTCCATCTGCAGGGACACGGCAAACATTGACAGAATCATTCTGTTGCAGGACAAACGTAGGGATGGAGGATAACAACGTTTTATGAAGAATCGGCGAGAAGTTCATCTCTGAGGATTCCAATGTCAACTTCTTGTCCAGAAGTTGTGACATAAATATTACAAAGCTGCTATGTACCCAAATCCCAACCAAGTTTTATGTTTGCAACCATACTATCTGCTGGGAACTTAGGTTTATAATTTGTGGTTTGTTTATAAAGTATTTTGGAATATGAAGCATACAAGTGGAGAATAACTGTAAAAGATACTCAGTAATATACCATGTAAATCTAACGAATATGTTCAGCCATTTTTAAGTTTTCATTTGCTTACTAGATCAATAAAATATGAGATATAAAGTTTTGGTGCCATTGTAGTCCTTCCTGATCCTCCCTCCCTTGCTTTCCCAGCAATCAATACTATACAGAATTGGATGCCTGACTTTCTGTGCTGTCTTGATTCTTTTGTTTTATATATATGTATATATAAAAATATATACACAAATGTTGAATAATATTCTATGTATAATTCTGAAACTTATTAGTCAATGTGAATGATAAAATATCTTTATGTGATTTTTATGTAGATAACAATTTATTATATGACAATTTATTTGGCTATTTCCTCTAACATTGCTTTATTTATTTATTTATTTTTTTCCATTTATTTATTTATTTATTTATTTTTTTTTCATTTTTCTTTTATTATTCATATGTGCATACAAGGCTTGGTTTATTTCTCCCCCCCCCCCCCCCTCCCTTAACCACCCCCCACCCCCTCCCGCTCCCCCCCTCAATACCCAGCAGAAACTATTTTGCCCTTATCTCTAATTTTGTTGTAGAGAGAGTATAAGCAATAATAGGAAGGAACAAGGGGTTTTGCTGGTTGAGATAAGGATAGCTATACAGGGCATTGACTCACATTGATTTCCTGTGCATGGGTTCTAACATTGCTTTAAATTATTGCTGTTTAAACGAGTTGGAGGTCAAGTGTGTTAATGTTTCTTTAACATAAATATCTAGAGAGGATTTTTCTCTATATTACTGTATGGACTGCTGAAACTACTAAGCATTTTTTTTTTGGTGGCACTGGGGTTTGAAATTGCACTTGCTAGACAGGTTTCCTACCACTTGAGTCCTCACCCAGCCATTAGTTATCCAGCTTTTAGTTATTTTTTGAATGGAATCTCAGAGTTTTTGCTTGGTGTCAGCTTCCAATGCAATCCTTTTCAGCCTGGTAGCTAGGATTGCAGGTATGCACTACTATGCCTGGCTGTTGTGTTGCTTTTTTTTTTTTTTTTTTTTTTTGCTAAAGGGGGAAAAATTTACACATCCACCAGTAATGGATAATGACTACCATTGCTCTAAACACTCATGAACATTTATGGTTGCAAGATTTATATTTTGTGTTAGTTATGTGGGTATGATAAATAATCTTATTTTAAACTGAAATTCTTTGGTTACTAATTTGTTTCAAAAATGTTTGGGGCTTTTGGATTTCCTCTAATGGTAATTATTTATTTATATCTTTTGGCCATTTTGTTTTCCTATGGATATTTATCCCTTTCCTCACTGAATCCTTTATTCTAAAATAGTGATTCTCAAGATATGGGTCAGGAACTCTTCTTGTGAAGAGCAAGAGGATTTTTTTTTCAACTACGTATCTGTGACCAAGGCTGGATTTTCTTTGTTTACACAAGTTAAAATAAGATTGCAATAGATAAGATGCAAGAGCAATATGAGATGGTCTTTCTTAAGTCAGATTTTTATAGAGATTTACAAAAACATAAAACAAGATCACACGTGTCATTAAAATTATTTTCTTTTTGTTATGGAAAACAGGTTTATTTTAGGAAATATTTATGGCAACATACAATTGGTTTTTGATTATTTTATTTTATTTGTTTTTACTTTTTGGTATTACTGGGGTTTGAACTCAGGACTTCTTGCTTGCAAAACAGTGATTCTACCACTGAAGTCACACCTACAGCCCTTTTGCTCATTTTTCTGGCAGATAGGGTCTTGCTTTTGGACCAGGCTGCCCTGGACCATGATCCTCCTATTTTATGCTACGAGCTGTGGCTGGGATAACAGGCAGGAGCGACATGTCCCAGCTGTTGGTTAAGATGGACAGGTCATGAACTTTTCATCAAATCCTGATCCTTCCAGTTAGCTAGGATTAGGCGGCATAAGTCACCTGCATTCAGCTTCATATTTTAAATAAATTAGTGAATATTTAAAAATTTATCAGTGTTCATTTTTAATGATAGCTCTATCTATCATCTATCTATCTATCATCTGTATGTGTCTATCATTATCTATATAACTTACAAGGAAAGCTCTTTGGGCTACTTAACAATTAGAAGATTGCAATATTTTCATGGACCAAACCCTTTTAGAGTTGTCATTCTAGACACTAATCCTTTGAATTAATAGGCTTTATGAATATCTTTTCTGTCTGTAGCTTGTTCTGCTACCTTGTTTATGATCTGTGTAAAAATTTTAAAGTAAATTTTAATCTTTCATTTCTGTTTGTGCTTCTATGTTATATTTAGAAAATCTTCCTTGACCTTGAGTTCATAAACATATTTTCCTTAAATGTTTTGCAGCTTTGCTCTTCACTTGTATGCCTATAATTTATCTGGAATATATTTTTATATTACGAATACAGATAACAAATTGTGGCATCATCATTCACCTACTAATTTTTCACTGACTTCATCCTTCCACTTACTTTTATGTGAGAATTCATTCCTAGAGTCTGTTCTTTTCCATAAGTGTAATTATTTTATTTTTGGCCAATCACTCTTTTTAACTATGAGAGTTTCACAGTTGATACAAACCTATGCAAGACCTTTACACTTGTTCTTAAAAAAACCTGGACTTAACCCTCCATATCTTAGGTTAATTTGTAGGTAAATTTGTGTAAGATTGATATCATGATATTGAACTTTCAAGTCATGAATGGGGTCGATTTCACCAGTTTTGGTTCTTCCTTTCTACCTTTTGATAATATTTTGCAATTTTTTATACATACCTCACACCACTTTTGTTAGATTTATTTCTATTGATAGTTTTATTTTTATTGTTAATAGAATTGCTTTTCTAATTTTTTATTTCTTGCGGTATTTTTTGTATATTTTTTATTATTCATATGTGCATACAAGGCTTGGTTCATTTCTTCCCCCTGCCCCACCCCTCCCTTACCACCCACTCCCCCTCCCTCTCCCCCCCCCTCAATACCCAGCAGAAACTATTTTGCCCTTATCTCTAATTTTGTTGAGAGAGAGTATAAGCAATAATAGGAAGGAACAAGGGTTTTTGCTGGTTGAGATAAGGATAGCTATACAGGGAGTTGACTCACATTATTTCCTGTGCTGTGTGTTACCTTCTAGGTTAATTCTTTTTGATCTCACCTTTTCTCTAGTTCCTGGTCCCCTTTTCCTATTGGCCTCAGTTGCTTTTAAGGTATCTGCTTTAGTTTCTCTGCGTTAAGGGCAACAAATGCTAGCTAATTTTTTAGGTGTCTTACCTATCCTCACCCCTCTTGTGTGCTCTCGCTTTTATCATGTGCTCAAAGTCCAATCCCCTTCTTGTGTTTGCCCTTGATCTAATGTCCACATATGAGGGAGAACATACGATTTTTGGTCTTTTGGGCCAGGCTAACCTCACTCAGAATGATGTTCTCCAATTCCATCCATTTACCAGCGAATGATAACATTTCGTTCTTCTTCATGGCTGCATAAAATTCCATTGTGTATAGATACCACATTTTCTTAATCCATTCGTCAGTGGTGGGGCATCTTGGCTGTTTCCATAACTTGGCTATTGTGAATAGTGCTGCAATAAACATGGGTGTGCAGGTGCCTCTGGAGTAACCTGTGTCACAGTCTTTTGGGTATATCCCAAGAGTGGTATTGCTGGATCAAATGGTAGATCAATGTTAGCTTTTTAAGTAGCCTCCAAATTTTTTTCCAGAGTGGTTGTACTAGTTTACATTCCCACCAACAGTGTAAGAGGGTTCCTTTTTCCCCGCATCCTCGCCAACACCTGTTGTTGGTGGTGTTGCTAATGATGGCTATTCTAACAGGGGTGAGGTGGAATCTTAGTGTGGTTTTAATTTGCATTTCCTTTATTGCTAGAGATGGTGAGCATTTTTTCATGTGTTTTTGGCCATTTGAATTTCTTCTTTTGAGAAAGTTCTGTTTAGTTCACTTGCCCATTTCTTTATTGGTTCATTAGTTTTGGGTGAATTTAGATTTTTAAGTTCCCTATATATTCTGGTTATCAGTCCTTGGTCTGACGTGTAGCTGGCAAATATTTTCTCCTACTCTGTGGATGTTCTCTTCAGTTTAGAGACCATTTCTTTTGAGAACAGAAGCTTTTTAGTTTTATGAGGTCCCATTTATCTATGCTATCTCTTAGTTGCTGTGCTGCTGGGGTTTCATTGAGAAAGTTCTTACCTATACCTACTAACTCCAGAGTATTTCCTACTCTTTCCTGTATCAACTTTAGAGTTTGGGGTCTGATATTAAGATCCTTGATCCATTTTGAGCTAATCTTGGTATAGGGTGATATACATGGATCTAGTTTCAGTTTTTTGCTAACCAGTTTTCCCAGCAGTTTTTGTTGAAGAGGCTGCTATTTCTCCATCGTATATTTTTAGCTCCTTTGTCAAAGACAAGTTGGTTATAGTTGTGTGGCTTCATATCTGGGTCCTCTATTCTGTTCCACTGGTCTTCATGTCTGTTTTTGTGCCAGTACCATGCTGTTTTTATTGTTATTGCTTTGTAATATAGTTTGAAGTCAGGTATCGTGATACCCCAGCATTGTTCTTTTGACTGAGTATTGCCTTGGCTATTCGTGGCCTCTTGTGTTTCCATATAAATTTCACGGTAGATTTTTCAATCTCTTTAATGAATGTCATTGGAATTTTGATGGGAATTGCATTAAACATGTAGATTACTTTTG